GCACCGGCAACCATGGTGAGGCTCTTCTGCACCTTTCTCTTCAACCAGAGTTGGGGAACCTCCAGTCCGTGGGCCATATGTTGTTGTTCAAGTGATGTAGGGCCGGTTCTGACTCCTGGCCACCGTCTGCACAACGGAAGGAAACACTGGCTGGCCCTGCCGACCTCACAGTGGTGCTCCCGGTGAGCCCATGGTCGCAGCTCCTTTGTCCATCCAGCCTGTGAGGGGGTCTCCTTTCTCCTCTGCAGCTCTGTTTTACAACACGCTGTCCTCTTTCCAGCGACTGGTCTCTCATGACCGCATGTCTGCAGCACCCTGGCCGTGCTTCGTCCAGGCTGGCTGGCTGTCCTTCTGGCAGTCCGTGGCTATCAGGATTCCTCACCAGCACCGGCATTCCAAACGGGGCCCTCGAAGCACCACCGTCCCAGCTAACATCCCACGCCGCACCAAAGGGAAGCGGTTCCCAGCTGCCACAGAGGGGTGGCTTCATGAAATGTTCCACCAACCACAGCAAGCTCATTTCTAAGTGGATCATGTTGTATGGCCCTCGAATGATATTATAATTATCCAAGTGGCGCTTGGCAGAGAAAATGGTTCCCCACCGCTGCCTTAACCAGACACGGTATCCCAGACAACAGCCTGCTAGACCCCCGGGGTTCCATGGGTGAGCACCCTCAAGGCTGGAAGTCGGGAAAAGAGGTTGCGGGAACCTAACCCAGGCTCAGGTGAGCCACTCTGGCAGTGGGCTGGGACCCACGGTGCCTCACTGACTGCGGGAAGCGCCTCTACCCCGTCCACAAGGCAGGGACAGGGGCCCATCCTGGGGCAGCAGCTCAGATAAGGAGGTGACAACTTTGTCATCCGGGGGGGGCCCTAGGCCGTATCTAGAAGGTACAATGTCAACTCCCCCCTCTCCTCCTGACCTGGGGGTGTTGGGGGGAGTCCCCACGTCACTCACGGGATCCATGTGCAGGGAAGGATTCCTGGACTCAGGTGCTACGGCCCTGGCTGCAGTGCACCCCAACTTGAGGATGAACTGGGGAGATGAGGTCTCCCTGGTGGAGGCTGCCTCAAGCCCCTTTCCAATCCCTCCCCAACCCCATTGCTTGCCAAGGGCTCAATCCTCCAGCAGCAGAAGGAAACCGCCCTGTTGAGACCTCAGGGGGAACCCACGCTCCCCTACCCCCACCCCAGGCCCCGCCACCCAGCCTACTTCTGCACCCCCTCTTCGCTGCCCCAGCCAGCAGCAAATTTAAGAGGCAGTGCAGTCTTGCTAGTCTGAGGGGCTCCTACTTTCCACGCCCCCACGCCGCCTCCACTGCACCCGTGCAGGGTCCTTGCTCGGTGCCCTTGGGCTTTTTTGTGTTTTAAGGAACAAAACATCAGGAGCACAAAATCCAGCCCCGATCTGCCTCGGGCCGCTGGACCGGCCAGCCGTCTCCTTCTTGGGAGCCCCTGGGAGCCACCGGGAACACAGGCGTATCCTCCTGGAAGCCTTTGTCGGGAGGTTTTGTGAGGACATTCAAACACACACACACACACACACACACACACACACACACACACACACGAAATAAGCCGGGTTGCATGGAGTCGATCCCGACTCCTGGTGCCCACCCCCACCCCGCCCCACCCTCCCAGGCTGTCAGCTCAACAGGGAAGCAGATTGGACACATCTTTCTCCCGAGGGAGGGAGGGTCGACTGGTGGATTCAAACGCGTATCTTTCCCTTGGCTGCCAAGTGCTACATTACTGCGCTACCAGGGCCCCTCGTGAGGATATTCAACTCAATTCCAAGCCCCCTGGCACCGAGTGGGTTCTGACTCATCGGGGGAGCAGGCAGCCCCCTCCTTCTCCTTAGGGTGAGCAGCCCACCACTAGCCTGCAGGGCTCACCAGGGTCCTTGAGAGGTTATTCCAAACTAAAAAAACCGAAATTCACTACCGTGGGGGTGAGGACTACTATCACAGCGACCCTATCGGACAGGGTAGAACTGCCCCCGTGGCTCCCAAGGCTGTCACTCTTTACAGGGGCTGCCAGCCTCGTCCTTCTCCCTCGGAACCGCTGGGGGGTCCACCTGCTGCCCTTGTCGTTAGTAGCCTGACGCGTAGCCACCCCGCCACCAAGGCTCCCTTTGTGGACTGCTGGTCTCTGTAAAATAGGTCAGGGACACTTGGGGAGAGGAGTCAGATGCACAAGGTGACAGGAGGCACCTCGGGGATTAAACAGTGTCCCCGGGAAGATTTGCTGAAGTGCCTTGCTCCTGTGACCTGTGTACTTGAGCTTACTGGGGTTGGGGGCCTTTCAAGATATCACCAGTCACCCTGAGGCCATGCTGGAACAGGGAGTCGTATGCCAGCTGCTGAGTGGCGATGGAGGTGGAGACTGAGTGACCTGCAAGCCAGGGATGGTCCAGGGCTGCCAACCATCAAACTCAGGACCTCAGAAGCAATCAACATGGCCGACACCCTGAGCCCAGACTCTCGGCCTCCGCAGGGTGAGAACAGAGACCAAGGGGGCAGAGGGTCAGGGTGCTGGTGGTGTCCTTGTCCAGTGCGTCCCCTCTACCTGGAGACAACTCACAGTCGCAGATGGAAAGGCGGAAGTGGTGAAGACAGCCGCAAGGGATGATGGGAGGCAAGGGCTGGCACAGCGCAGGCATCTGCTCGGACACCCTGGGGCTGAGGCTGACTCTGCTCTCGGCTCCTCCCCACAGAGCCCCCACACCCCCCTCCTGTAGCCTGTGCTCAGTGAAGGCCGAGAGGGGGCACCCCGAGGCCAGACCCCACTCACCATCTTCTTCCTCGGGCTCTTCTTGGGGCAGGTGCCTCTCACCTGGGTCAAATTCCTCCTCCTGCAAGACAAAGAGACAGGTCAGCAGTGCTTGGATCTGTCCACTGGGGCGTTGGGACCCTCCAGGAACACAAGGGGCCACTGGGGAGAGGTGTGTGGAGTCACGTGAGAAACAAGAGGCCATCCTCAGGAGGTGGGGCGCAGAGGGCCAAAGGGAGAGGAGGAGGAGGAGCAGTTGGACATGAAGCAGGACACCATGGAGGATGAGGGGGGGACAGGTCAACGTCAAAATAAACTCTGCGTGTCGACTCAATGCTGCCACCTGGGCCAAGCAGACACGTGCTTCTATCTGTACCAGGCGGGTGCTTGCGAAAACGCCTGGAAGGACCAGGGACGCCTGGCCCCACCCCGTTGGCTTCGACGAGTGGAACAGGAGCACAGGAAGAGCAGAGAGAAGCTGGGCCAGGCTGGGCGTCCCAGAGGAGCTGCGTTTGGGCGTGGCTTCATGTCCTCCACCATCACTCGAATCCTCGCCCGAGTTCCTGTGGCCATGTGCAACCTGGGGCCCTCCACGTCCTGCAGCCCAGCCACCCCGCTCTGGCCCCTAAACAGCTGGCTGGGAGGAGTGTTTCCAGTTGGCCTGGATGGAAGGAAGGCATGACTTCAACGTGCAGGAATGTCAGAGGATAGAAGAGACGTGCTGGGCGTTGAAGGGTGCGGGCGTGGTAGAGGAATGATGACACAGAAGTCCAGCGGACAAAGATGACAATCGCCACAGAAACCAAAACACCGAACCCGGTGAGGCTGACTTGGCCGGCCTGTGGCCAGCCCGTGGGTGAAAGAGAACTGCGCTCCGTGTGGTGGTCTTGTCATCTTCAGGGGAGGCATTATTACCAGGCCTTTCTTCCATGGTGCTAGCAGGTGGTGTGCGATCCACCAACCTTTTGGTTAGCTGCCGAGGGAACTGTTGGCATCACCGGGGGATCTACTGTTGTTAAGGGCCAAGGAGCTGGCAGCGAGCCCATGTACAATGCAATGCAAGGCTGCCCAGTCCCTGCACCAGGCTCACATGGTGTGTCTGAGCCCCCGCTGTGGCAACGCCTGTGTCCATCCACCTTCCTTTCTTTCCCCGCTGACGTTCTCAAATATGATGGCCTTTCCCAGGCCCTGTCTTCTTCTGAGGACATATCCAAACCAAGGCTCGCCGGGCTTGCTTCTAAGGAGCTTTCTGGTTGGGCTTCTTCCAAGACAGACCGGTGTGTGCTTCTGGCAGTCCACGGGACTGTCGATAATCTGCACCACACGCATCTGTGGCTTCTTTCTTCACTGTCCAACGTCCACATGCATTTGATTGGTTGAAATGCCGCAGCGTGGGTCAGGTGACTGAAGACCACGGCCTGACCCACGGGTTGAGAGAGGGGTGCGTGATGGATATGGATGAGAAGATGGCCCGCAGACAGATTCCAATTGAGGCTTTCCCTAGATGGTGCCCAGATACCATGAGTGACCATAGGGATCAAAGATCCTATAGAAGACTCCTGATCACAGTGGGGGAATGCAGAAGGTTGCTGATGTTAGGTGCTAGGGAGCAGGTTCTGACTCACAGAGAAGCCTCGTTCAACAGAAGGAAGCACTGCCCGCTCCCGCACCGCCCTCACCTGGTTCTCACGTTGGTGCCATTGTTGCAAACACAGTGTCAGCCCATCTTGCTGGGGACCTTCCTCCTTTTTGCTGCCTTCTCCTTTACCGAGCATGATGTCCTTCTCCAGGGACTGGTCACTCCCCCAAAACATGTCCAAATAAGTGAGACAAAATTTCACTGTCCTTGCTTCTAAGGAGCACTCTGTCCCTAATTCTTCCACTACAGATGGGTTTGTTCTTTCGGTATTGTCTCCGGTCTACTTAATTCAATGTCCAACTTTCATGTGCCCACGAGATGAGGCAAGTGGTGACACCATGGCGTGGGTCAGTAACATCCCAATGGTGGTCAGTGATGACGCCATGGCATGGGTCAGTAACGTCCCAATGGTGGTCAGTGGTAATGCCATGGCGTGGGTCAGTAACATCCCAATGCAAACAGTCATCTGATCTCTTGACTGCTGCTTCTATGAGCATGATTGTGGATGCAAGCAAGACAAAATCCTCGAAAGCTTCAAAGCTATCTAAAGTTTGTGATGAGCCAGATAGTTGAATGCCTTTGCATAATCAATAAATACAAACAGGGGGAAGGGAGTACAGCGGTGCAGGTGGGGTAAAAGGGAGGTGATGTCAAGGGGTCCATGCAGAATGGGAATGTTTGGAAACTGATTGTGGTAGCAACTCTACATTCTACTTGATGTGATTGAAATTTGGAATGATACATGTATTAAACCCCAACTGATAATCTTATTATTAGTAATAATAAAACATAAATAAACATCTTTCTGGTATTCTCTGTTTTGAGCCAAGATCCATCTGACAACAGCAATGATATCGCTTGGTCCACGTCCTCATCTGAATCCAGCCTGACATTCTGGAAGCTCCCTGTCAAGGTACTGCTGCATATGTTGTTGGATGATCTTTAGCAACATTTTACTTGCATGTGATATTAATGATATTGTTAATTGTATAATCTGTGCATTCTGTCGGGCCACCTTTCTTTGGAACGGGTAAATACATGGATCTCTTCCAGTCAGTTGGCCAAGTAGCCGTCTTCCAAATTTCCTGGCACAGACGAGCGAGTGCTTCCAGGGCTCCATCAGCGTGCTGAAACGTTTCCAGTGATAGTCCGTTGATTCCCGGAGCCTTGTTTTTGGCTACTGCATTCAGTGAAGTTTGAAGTTCTTCCTTCAGCACCATTGGTCCTTGTTCCTAGGCCACCTCCTGAAAAGGTGGAATGTGGGCTAGTTCTTTCCTTCATCTTTTGACGTCTCCTGCATCATTTAATATTTTGCCTATAGACTCTTTCAAGATTGCAACTCCGGGCTTGAATTTTTTCTTGGGTGCTTTCAGTTTAAGGTATGCTGAGCGGGCTCTTCCTGTTTGGCTTTCTACCCGGAGGTCTGTGCACACTTCACTGTCTGACTGTCTTCTCGAGCTGCCCCCTGAGGTTGTCCAGTCAGCTCTCGGGCATCACTGTTTCTCCCCTTTGCCTGAGCCACTCACTCGCAATGAAGCGCACGTTTCAGAGTCTCTTCTGACGTCCCCTTTGATCTGTCCTTTCTTTCCGGTCTTTTTAATGACCCTTTGCTTTCCTCATGTATGATGGTCTCGACGTCCTCTCACAGCTCAGCAGGTCTTCTGTCTTTAGTGTTGAGTGCATCAAAACTGTTCTTGAAGTTCAGATGGGACAGACTCAAGGCTGTATGCTCATAGACTTGCTTTCGTTTTCGTCTGCTTCTACCTGCAATTGGTGGCCTGTTCCACGGCCCGCCACAGGCCTGTGTTCAGCGGCTGATATGGAGCTTCTCCCTCATCCGTTCCAAAAGATATGGTCCATCTGATTTCTGTGTATTCCACCTGGAGAAGTCCACTTAGGGAGCTGCTGCTTGTGTTACTGAACAAAGGTGTTTGAGATAAAGAAGTCTTTGGTCTTGCACAATTCTACAGCTCCGTCTCCAATCACCAATAATTATCGATGAATTTTGTATGCCAATCGCCAATAATTATCAATGAATCTTGATCCCATGTTTGATCAATTTCAGATTGAAGACTTCTTGAATTTCTGTATCACTGACCTTAGTGGTTGGTGCATAAATCTGAAAAACAGTTGAATTGGCTGGATTTCCTTATACTCGGGCAGATATTATCCTATCACAGACAGCACTGTATTTCAAGACAGATGTTGAAATGTCCTTTTTTCAAGATGAGTGTGACCCCATTCCTCCTGGATCTCTCATTCCCGGCAGAGCAAACCATAGGATTATCTGATTCAAACGGACCAATTCCAGACCATTTCCACCCACTAACACCTAGAATATTGACCTTTATGTGTTCCACTACTTTTCTGACCGCTTCCAATTTTCCTAGACTCATACTTCGTAGATTCAAAGTGACGATTCCTCGTGGATGCTTGCAGCTGTTTCTTCTCGTTGGAGTGAGTCCCCGTCTGCAAAGGAAGGTCCGGAAGGCTCTCCGTCGGCGAGCGTTCGTTCCCCACCCAGGTCATGGCGTGGACTCCACGTTGAGAAGGCAGCTCTTCCTCAGTCATCGCCTGGGGTCATTAACAGTGTTTTGATGCTGCCCATGAAGTTTTCATAGTTAATTCCTCAGAAGTGGACAGCCTGTTCCTTCTTCGTAGGTCTGTTCTGGACGCTCTGCTGAAACCTGCCCACACTGGGTGACCCTGCTGGCATTTGAAATACCAGGGACATCGCTTCCAGCATCAGAGCAACACACAAGCCACCCTAGTGTGACAAACTGACAGGCACGCGGTGGGAAAGCAGAATAGCATTTCAAAGGATCATGGAATCCAGAATTTCTGGAGACTGCATATAGCCCTGCAAACCAGTGTTCCGAGAAAACTTCTACTTATTTAAAAAAAGAATTTGTTTTCTTCTTATCGTCCAGAACATACCCAGCGGGACAGACAGCAATTGAGTAGTTTTTATAAGTACAGTTCAGTGACCTGGATGACATGCTTCGAGTTGGGCAACCCTGTCCCCCACCTTTCCTGACTTATCCCCCCAACCCCCGTGAACATAAACCACCGCTCCCAAGGCTTTTAGCTCCTGTCTTTGCTACCGGCTGCTCTGGTCAATCTGACCCCGTGGAGATCGCCCTTAAAGGAGCACAACCCTCCACGCGATGGGCTTGATTGGTGGGACTCACCCACTGTTTGGTTTTAGGAAGCCACCCCGAGGATATTTTGGGTTTAAGACTTCATTACTATTTTTATTAAACCTTTTATTGGGATGCGGGTGAACGTTTGAGATCATGTTTAGGCCTTAAACCCCCAAATGGCCCCTGATGTCTTTTTTCTTACTTTGTTGACTGTGCATTAGTGAGGGTTTGCAGAGCAAACCATCGGGGTGACATCCTACAAGGTGAACCCCCTTTGCTTCCGCTCATCCACTGTCTACA